CAACAGTCCAGGAGAGATTACGTGTAACTCCCAGGCACTTCTGAATCAGGCTGCTCAGAGGCCTGTTCTTGCTGGCTACAGGCCCCCTTTGCCTTCCTCCACTTTAACTGTGCAGGAACCAGATAACCAGCATCCTTGGACAGTGAGAGAACATCTGAAAGGAACTCTTCTTTCAACCCATCATTCAATTCTAGTTCTTGATATGTAAGAAGCTTGCAGGGAGCATACCTTATGTAAACCCCCATCACCAAAGGCCAACAATTCCAAGACTGACATACAGTGGAGTCATAGGGGGGCCACCAGGACAGTTGTCTCAGGTGCAAAATTGTTAGGGGCACAAAATTTCAATTATCGGTGCTGCCTCAGCACAGCTACTTGCGTCCATCACTGGGCTCAGTTGAAAACAGCTTCTCCTTGTGACCAGGAAACAACCTCTCCAGACAACGGAGCAACTCTTATTTTATTTTCTCTATGGCTGCGATCTCCTGGGTGACGCGGACGTCGTTAGGCAGTTGAATGCGCATGCGTACTCCATCTCGTTTCCCTCTCACCCCCTCCGTGTGGCCCCGGGCACTGGCAACCCAAGCTATGCCACTGCAGCCATATGACTGCAGCTCATTTGTGCAGCAATAGCAGGCATTGCATACGTGGCAGGCGCATACCTAACATGGCCCACCACGTGTGTCACCACCCAAATGTCAACAAACCAAAATAGAAAGGGCTTGTATACTCCGCCCCACCCCAAAGCAAAGACAGTCAGCCTCGCAACGCACGCATAAGCACCTCACTTTTTCCTCCGGTGCTTTTCTTCTGGAAAAAGGAAGGAACTCCCCACGTTCCTCCTCGAAAGCAGATGGGCCTTATTATCTGTGCCTATGAAAATCCTATTTACAATGTTGTGCATTTCACGCTGTGATATCATATCTGGAACCAGCCGCTCTCCCCATCTGCAAAGAACAACTGTTCTCACATGTGTGTCAGGGGCCGAGGCTCTGGCTGCAGAATCTCATGATGTCATCCTTAACCCACATTACTTTGCAATCACTCACAAACAATAGCTGCTATATTTATCGGTGGAGATTTCTGCGTTTTCCTCCCCCAATTGTGCAGGAAGAGGCAGGCATTCAAGAGGGGGAATATGAACTGAACTAATGTTCTTTTGACTCTTCAGAACAGGTTACCTCCACACCTGCCAGAGGGTGTCAGTACTCTCAAGACTGTAGGGCCTCAGTCACAATATTCTGACTTTCTCCTTCAAAAACCATGACCATGACCACAGAGCTGGACAGGATCCACTAGGTCATTTAAGCCAACCCCCTGAGAGTGGATAATCTACGCCTCAAACATCCTCTGACAGATGCCTCTTTGGGAAAATCTCAGAGGAAGGAGATCCCAAGCCTCCTCAATAGCTCTGTATTCTGCTGCTGATCTGCTCTTACTAGCTAGACCAGGAACTGTGAACTTAGAGGAGCTGGAAGGCTAATTTATTCCACCAGCAATATCAACCCTGCATGAATTCACCACCACTTCTGCTCTCATTAACCCCATCTCTGCCTCTCATCTTTCATACCCGGCTTCCTATTTAGACAGAAGAAATGGGAGCACACAGCACTGGTTCCTAGCCTTCAAAATGGCTTAAGAAGTAATGTGGAGTCTGGGAAAGGGGTGACACAGTGGGGGGCCTAACGTTTGAAGCCCACTAACTTGGGAGATTTAGGTTCAAGGTTAGACAAGAGCATCCCACCTTCCTACACTATAAAACCATTTGTTCCCTGTCCTCAGTGAAGAGGCAGGGAGGAAGAGAAGGAAAAGGTTTCCCCTCTTCTGCCTGAAATAGTTTTAAATACCGAAAAGCTACTCTCCAATCTGTTCTGCTGATTAACATGCCCATCTACCAGTTCAGCCCACTGATGCCTGCAGTCCTACCTGAGAGCTACACAGGTAAACAAGCACTGGGGGGGGGTACAGAAGGACTGCCTCCATCGTCGCATCCCAAAATGCAAATCCACAGCAACAAAAGCTTGCTGCTTTTGCAGCCATTCCAAGTTCAAAGTACCTGGATAAGCGTTTTCCTTTTCAGTCCTGCTGAGACATCCTCCCTTGACATGTAGGCTTCAAATACTTTCTTCCTCCCCCGAGTTGGCTTGCTCCGAGTCTTTCTGTCGCCAGGGGCCAAGCAGGTGGTGTAGGGACCGCCTGGAAGAAAAAAAAAGGTAGAATCACTGCCTCACCATATATAACAAAGCTGTTTGTTTTTACAGAGACCAGTGGCTCAGTTCAGACATGCAAAAACCATGGCTAAGGAAGCTTAATTTTCCAGCAACCCAGAATGATCATTTAAGTGAGCCCTTTCTTCACACTTGCCACCCACCCTTTGAACCAGCCAGCAAAAAACCGGGAAGCCTTCAATTAACAGTTTACCTGTTCAAAGAAAACAGGAAATGGTTGTCAGCAGAAGGCATCCTGGCTAGTTCCCTAGTTCACCCAAAGGGTGGATCTCGGGGTTGTCATGGATAGCTCAGAGAGGATGCTGGCCCGGAGCACGGCTATTGTGAAGAAGCTAAATTCTATGCTCGAGATCATTAGGAAAGGGGTTGAAAATAAAACAGCCAGTATCATAAATGCTCTTTTAAGAACCTAGAGTGCTTCCGCACTGTGTCCAGTTTGGGTTGCCTTGATTCAAAAAGGACATCGTAGAGCTGGGGAAGATTCAAAAAGGCCAACCAAAATGACCAAGTGGTTGAAGCATCTCCCTTATAAGGAAAGGTTGTGGTATTTGTCGGGAGGGTAATGAGTAAGTGGGAGCATGACAGAAAGTTATTGATGCTGCGGAGAAACTGACCAGAAAAAAGTTATTCTTCCTCTTTTGTGATATCAGAATCCGGGGTCATCTAGTAAAACTGAATGGCAGAAGGTCAGGGACAGACAAATGGGAGAACTTCTCCACATTTAAGGCATAGTTAAAACCAGTGCTTTTTTTCTGGGGGGACGCAGGGGGACACATACCCCTAAACATTTTGTGAATCTAATTGGAGAAGAAACTAAAAAAATTAAAAAAATTAGTTTGTTCTCTAGCACAGAGAATCATCAGTTCCATTGCTACCCCTGATGGCGGCCCCATTTCCTGTCACGGTGTTTCCTGAGTCTCAGATGGAAGCGAGCTTTTAATGTGTGAAGTAGAAGTTGAAAGTAGGAGGGAAGATGTTAGTGCATACAACCTCATGCCAATGCGGAAGTTACTGTGAGCTGTCAGCTGTGTAATATGAGGTAATTTACATTCTTTGTACTTTTGTCCATTTACTATATTTATTTTTCCCGATCTGAACTATGAAATGGTGGTTTTCTTGAGTCAAAATGAGAGTACCCCTAAATATTTTTAAGGGGGGGAAAGCACCGGTTAAAACTAAGGAAAACCTTAGGTGGTTTTCTGAAGAGATCAAACAACTTCATGGAGGATCAAGGTTATCAATGGCTGCTGGTCATGACAACAATGTGTTTACTCCAAAATCAAAGGCAGCATGCTCTGAGGACAGAACTTCCAAAGCTACTCTAGGAAAGAGGATGCTGGAACTTGATGGGCCTTTGAGCAGCAGGGCTGAGGGCACAGAAAGGAGTTTGTTTATATCTTGACTGATTAAGCTGAGATATAATGACCGTGTTTGAACGATTGTAACTCCTTGATATTTACTCCTTGCTGTTTATCTCTATTCCATAATTGCGCCAAATGATTAAAAAAAACAAACTGCAAGTTTACCGTACTTTGCAATAGTCGGTAACCTGGACATTTTAGCAAGAGGGAAAGGAAGTATGGGGAGACATGGAAATCTGAAGGGAAGAGGAGAAGAAAATGGGGATCTGCAGAACAAGTGTTCTGCTTCCTCTACAACCATGAGCACCAAAAATTTGTTGGCTGCCTGAAGAGAATGAAGGACCCAAGGTTTTCATGAGGTCTGATTCTGGATTCCTGCAGATGCACAGTGACTTGTAAAGCTGATGTGAGACACCGGGATGAGAATTCAGAATCACAACATCAGAGTTTGAAAGAACACGCAGCCGATCATCCAAGGCGATTCCTATTTCTGAGCAGACTTCCATGAAGCTCATATTTTATGGGCATCAAGAGCATGCATGCAGAAAGCAAGCTTCACTTTTCAAAAGCGGAACCTCCCCATTCATACCTCTGGGGGTCCCCAGCTGCCGCTGGCCCATTCTGCAGTCAGAGTTGCTCATGGTGTCTGTATGTGATTCAGAGAGCTGCCGCCTCCTCTCCACATTTGGGGGGGCTCTGGCCGATTCAGAGTGATTTCTGGTCCTCGCCAAGCCTTGCTTGTGTGCACCTAGAAGAATCAAAGCACAAGGGTGGTATATAGGCAAAAGAGTCTCAGAGCAAGGCCTCTCGCTGGCTATAATCCTGCCCCTCCTCATTAGAGCCTCTCACTGTATTGGTTTTACAATGCTCCTACAAAACTAATGATGGCCACCAACTTGAAATGGCTTTGAAAAAGGATGAGACAATTTTATGGAGGATAAGGCTATCAATGGCGACTAACCACAATGGCCGTGTTGTCCCTGCCCTTTTGGAAGAAATATGACCCCAAATACTAGTTCCTGGGAATTGCCAGTGGGAAAGGGCTCTTGTGCTCGGATTTCCCTTGAGGAAGAAGAAGAAGAAGAAGAGTTTGGATTTGATATCCAGCCTTTCACTCCCTTTAAGGAGTCTCAAAGCGGCTAACATTCTCCTTTCCCTTCCTCCTCCCCCACAACAAACACTCTGTGAGGTGAGTGGGGCTGAGAGACTTCAAAGAAGTGTGACTGGCCCAAGGTCACCCAGCAGCTGCATGTGGAGGAGCGGAGACGAGAACCCGGTTCCCCAGATTACGAGACTACCGCTCTTAACCACTACACCACACTGGCTCTCACACTACACCCACACTGGCCTCTGTTTGTCCACTGCGAGAACAGGATGCTGGGCTAAATGGATCTTTGGCCTGATTATCCAAGCGGATTGCTCAGTCGGTTAGAGTGTGACGCCGATAACGCCAAGGTTGCAGGTTTGGTCCCTGTATGGGACAGCTGCATATTCCTGCATTGCAAGCGGTTGGACTGGAAGACCCTCAGGGTTCCTTCCAACTCTACAATCTATGAACTTAAGCTGCGTTTTGCACCTTTAATAATAACAACAACAACAACAACAACAACAACAACAACAACATTTTATTTATACCCCGCCCTTCCTGGTTCAAAAACTGGGCTCAGGGTGGCTAACAACAAATCTAAAACACTTTAAAACACTTAATTATAAAAGCGGCATAAAATACAGTATAAAAACATGAATAACAATAAAAATCAAAAATCAATTAGATAATCCCCAGGGCTAGCTCGCTGAATTGGTCCTACTTGGGTCAGCGAGGAGGCCGGGGGAGAATTAGCTGTGGGGTCTCAGAGTGGGTGATCTTCATAAAAGTGGAGGGGGAGGGAAGAGAAGAGAAGAAAAGGGAAATAAAAGATCAGGCTGAATTCAAATTAAAGGCCAGGCGGAATAGCTCTGTCTTACAGTACAGACAGAAGTAGGTTAAATCCTGAAGGGCCCTAGTCTCATGGGACAGAGCATTCCTTTGCACTTGTTGGGGGCCCAATCATCAAATTTCACAGCAAAACCTGGCTCCTTTACTATTCATTTATTTTGCACAGATGTCACACACCAGCCACCACCACCAGTCAGCACTTTAACACATTGCTGCACTATTGAGATGTTGATTCCTGTCTTCATACATCCCCCACCAACAGTGCCGCCTTAAGCAGATAAAACTTCTACCTGCAGCAGAGCAGTGCCAACCCACCCACTCACCCACTTCCATGTGTGTAAAAAATGATGGGGGGAATCTCTCTTGGAAAGGAGGAAAGGCGCACACATGCAGAATCTGTGTGTCTGAGTGTCTCCTGTCTGTGTGCATGCGAGGGGTGGCTGAACCTCTTTGCCCTGGCCCTGCTGTGCCAGTCCTGTTAAGGAGGGATGCCACGGGTTCAGCCTGGGGTGTTTGGCATGCAAGGCACACGCTGTGCCCCAGAGCGACAGCTCCTCTACTGCACTGCACCTTGAGAAAGGAAGGCAACCCAAAGGACAGAAGGCCAGTCCTAGAAAACCTTTCACCCGGCACACAGCTTCAGTCGTGAGAGACAGCAAGCCAACTGAAGTCGGAGAAAAGAGAGGAGGAGAGAGAGGTTCTCTGCCCATATACAATCTTGCAACTCAAGCGCTGGGCGTTTTCGCCTGCCGATGAACTCTCAGCTTTGTTTACATTGCGGTTATTTATGTCTTTAACCCAGATCTCCCAGGGTGAGAGGAACCAGGCGAGAGCATCGTTAAAGGCTTGTACGGTTCCCAGGTGACTCCCTACCAAGCAGAGCAATGGATTCCGACCGTCGGCTCACAGCACTAAATTGTTCCTTTTGATTTTTAAACACAATTTGGCGTAGAAGTGTTTGAAATGGGGGGCGGGGGAAGAGAATGGACAAAGTCTCCCATTGTTCGGTAACTTTCCCCACTAAAACGCTTCCATCTGCAACCTTCTGAGGCTAGTCCATAACTAGGTGTCAGGCCCTTTCAGTTTCTTCCACTTGCCTTCAAGTAGCGTCTCATTGTTCTCAGTGTTAGATCACAATCTAATTATAGGCAAAGTGAGCCTAGTATATGCACACACACACAGAGAGAGAGAGAGAGACAGAGAGAGAGATAGGATTTTTATATGGTTTTTTAAAAAAGAAAAAAGAAAAACTTCCACATTTGCAGGAAACAGGAGCAAAGCCAAAGAACTGATAAAACAAATTAGAAGAATTTGCTTTCAGGTAACAAGATGGTTTCGACACATCGTTGCCTAGATAGGAAGGCTCCTGCACTGTTTCCAAGTACAGTGGTATCTCTGGTTATATACTTAATTCGTTCCGGAGGTCCGTTCTTAACCTGAAACTGTTCTTAACCTGAAGCACCACTTTAGCTAATGGGGCCTCCCGCTGCTGCCGCGCCACCGCCGCACAATTTCTGTTCTCATCCTGAAGCAAAGTTCTTAACCCGAGGTACTATTTCTGGGTTAGTGGAGTCTGTAACCTGAAGCGTATGTAACCTGAAGCGTATGTAACCCGAGGTACCACTGTATTTCCTGCAGATATGGGGAGTTCAAAGGAGCCTAGCCAATCCCTTTGGCTTTAACTCACAGTTGTCCAAGAATATGTAGGAATTGGGGAGGGGGGTCCCCTGGTTTTTGCAACAAAAGGGTAGGATGAGGAGTGCCAAGCCCTCCCACGGCTCCTTAAGAGCCTTGCCCTGAGGCCCAGAAGTGAATGGCAGCCCTCAAACGCAGCCCGCGTGACTCTGCCAAGCCACGCCCTCTCACAAGGCCACACCCCTCACAAGTGCGCTATTGAACCGTGATGCATGCTGGGGTGAGGGAGGAAGGGGTGAGAGTCCGTGGACTGTGAGCGCATAGAGACCACTGGCTTTTGGGTGGCTGGGGTGCACCCTAGCACACATAAAGGCAAGAGTTGCACCCGTTGCTCCTCCCACTTCCCCCCCGAAGCCCCCACCCCACCTCTGACCTCTGCCCCTTGGAAGTCTGCCCAGAGAGCGAAGGTGCTCCACCCTTCTGTTGCAGCAACCACACCACAGCCAAATCCCTTGTCGTGACTTACTTCTGCCGTCGCTACAACATGACTCTTAACCTTACCGCGTGGAAATTTACTTATTTAAGCTTAAACAAAAATCTGCCACTCGGCCAGCAAGGCTCACAGAGCGGCATACATGAAACAGATAAACAAACAAAGCCGTAAACGCAAGGAAATGCCTCCAACGAAAAAAGCAGCACTTATACAGCCGAGATCGCTAAACGGATTTCAAAACACAGCATTAGAAGGCCTGGGCCAATAAACTATTCAACTGGTGCTGAACATAAAAACAGAGACGGCACCAGGAGAGTGTCTCAGGGAAGGAGGCTCCATAAATGGGGTGCTACAACTGTAAAGGCCCTGTGGCCAGTCTCCATGAGCCTTACTGTAGCTGGTGGAGGAGCAAAGATACAGGACGCGAGGTCTGTGGCTTAAAAACTGGGCAAATCCATATGCATGGAGTTTAGGTCTTTAGGTGCCATGGTCCTAAGCCATTTAGAGCTTTATAAATTTCAGAGTCCAGAAATGTTGGCTTGGTTACTAGCCAGACGTAATTTGTGGCTGCCACAAGTCCTCTGCACATGCCAGGGAACTGCAGGGTGTGATCATGGTGGTGGGGCTTGCCTTCATATCACGATGAACGTGGGAGGTGGCAAAAGCAGAGCAAGAATCTGTCTACTGCAACGCCCAGAGCAACACGCAAGACCCGTCCTCCCTTCTGCAGAGCTGGAGTAGGAGAAGGGGCTTCCCATACTGTGCTGAACACAAGCTTGCACCAGACAACTGGGGCAGGGAGCAGATTTGTGGAGATTTGCTTGAGGATACTGGAAGGAAAGAAGAAAAAGCCCCAAGCAATGTAGGGGGGCAGGATAATAAACTATCCAAAAAGGGAGATGCCACAAGGATGCAAACAGGGCATGGGCAATGCAACATGTGGCGTGGTCCTCAGTTCTTAGAGCAATTCCTGGATAAGCATCCACTGCACTTCAAGAGCGCCTTCTTGTTGGTGTGGCAAATATGCGTGTAAGCACACAGCTCCAAAATACTTTGAAAAATCCCACAGATCGGAGGTAGGAATGACACTTTGCTTGTGGGAGCTGCTGGGTTCTAGAGCCGCCACCCCCCGCCATCCTACATAGCAAGACCTCTGCCAGAGACCTTGGAGGCAGTCTTTGAAATTAGCCAGGCACATTTTGAACCTTGCTATTGGCCACTTTTATATGCCTGTTGTCTTTGTCCATGGAGTTTTCTTGGCAGGGATACTGGAGTGGCTTGCCGGTTCCTCCTCCAGGTGGATCACGTTTGGTCAAAACTCTCCACTATGACCTGTCCATCTTGGGTGGCCCTGCACGGCATACCTCATAGCTTCTCTGAGTTATTCAAGCCCCTTCACCACGGCAAGGCAGTGATCCATGAAGGGGACATCACCTTGCCAACAAAGGTCAAAGCTATGATTTTCCCAGTAGTGATGTATGGAAGTGAGAGCTGGACCATAAAGAAGGCTGATCGCCGAAGAATTGATGCTTTTGAATTATGGTGCTGGAGGAGACTCTGGAGAGTCCCATGGACTGCAAGAAGATCAAACGTATCCATTCGGAAGGAAATCAGTCCTGAGTGCTCACTGGAAGGACAGATCCTGAAGCTGAGGCTCCTATACTTTGGCCACCTCATGAGAAGAGAAGACTCCCTGGAAAAGACCCTGATGTTGGGAAAGATGGAGGGCACAAGGAGAAGGGGATGACAGAGGATGAGATGGTGGGACAGTGTTCTCGAAGCTACCAGCATGAGTTTGACCAAACTGCGGGAGGCAGTGGAAGACAGGAGTGCCTGGCATGCTCTGGTCCAGGGGGTCACGAAGAGGCGGACACGACTAAATGAGTAAACAACAAATTGGCCACTTGCGACCAAGTGAAGGTGCCTGGGCACCAGGATGGCATCTGACATCTCCACCATCTTGAGGTGCATGCCTGGGGATCCTTGGATCTGGATTGTTTTCCCACACTAATATCACATCCTGTAGAATTCTATCAGTTATATTTTATCTGCACAATCGGAACGAATTTCAGGAACCGAAATGCTTTTTTTGTGCAATTTCAGCAGGAGCAGTGAACAACGTTACACTTAATTGTTGTTGCTTGTCTTCACTTCCCCCCACCGCACTTCCCTGCTCTCAGTTGTGAAGAATATTCTTAGATTATGAATGGTCCTGGAGAAGGAACTGGCAAACCACTCCAGTATTTTGGCAAGAAAACTCCATGGACACAAAAAAGGAGAAGCTTTGAGAAGAAAGTGAGAGTTTCCAAGGCATGCTCTGGTTCATGGGGTCACAGAGAGTCGAACACGACTAAGACAACTAAACAATAACAACAATGAATGGTCCATGTCACCAGGAATAGGCCAATAGATATGTGGATTGTCC